TCCATTATTACCATTGCCTCATGATCATATGGTACTTCCTGAAATATTTCCATGTTGGCCAATTATTTTCATCCAGTAATTCTGTGTATTACCTCCATCTTCTAATGCTTCTTAGATCATTTAAGATTCTGCTTATAGAATACCTCAGTCTTACAACTCAAGGCTTGAATTTATTTTTCAGTTCCTACCACTTTAGAAATGCTTGTTACTCTCCAATTACAGCTCACTACACATTCTCTGTAATACTTTGCTTTGTCTTCTTGACCTGTGCTTTGAAATATTATTCTCTTTAAAAACCTTTTACTAAACCAACACTAAAGGCATGCAATTCGAATCCATCAGCTGCTCTGAGGGAAAAGGATGGGCAATCTCCTCCTGTGTGATTTATAGCCACTGAGAACCCACTGGGGGGTCAGCTATGGGTCAGTTCTGACTCAATGGTACTCACAAGCCTTTGTTTTGATCTCCTGATGCTGCGGTGCAATTTTTAGTCTCTTCTGATATCCACCTTGGTTTTTTCTTCTTGTCTTTGTAATGACCTTTTGCTCTCTTTATGGATCTTAGATGTCATCCCACCACTCACTCATCTAGTCTTTGATCACTGGCTTTCAATGCTTCAAACATATCCTCAAGATGATTTCTAAATTCAGACGGGATAGACTCTACCTGAATTTGTGGGAAAGACCATCAATAATTACTCATGTGCAAGTTTAAATTGATGCTGAAAAAATTAAAAGACATTTACTAGAACCTAAATATGTGTCTCTTCTGCCTCTGAGTGTAGTTATTTCCCTAGATGTGTTGTGATTAGTTGTTGTTGAGTCAGTTCTGACGCATAAGGGCCTCATACACAACAGAAGGAAACAGAGATCCGTAGATGTGCCTCTGGACTGATGCTCACCTTTTTGTCTGATTTGGCTCATGCCTTCTCAAGGCTTCTGGAATGACCTCTGAGCACTGGTATAAGAACTGGTTGTTTAAGATCCAGCCAAGGCGCTTGCTAGAAATACAGCTTCTCAGTTATAGGACTCATGACTGGGACTCAGAATTTTATCTTAATTTTAAAGAAAGAATCTGCTATAAGAGGCTTCAGGGGATTCTGAAGAGTGGCCAGATTGGGTGATGACTGTCCTAGGAGATGACGGTATTTCTTTCCTTAGTCAGTCGTGAGGCTTTCCTCAGCTTAAAGACAATGTGTCTAACAGTTTGCGGATCATCTCAGATGACAGTCCTAATTCAGCCTCAAACTTTTTCTCATCTTTCTCCCTTTTCTCATGCCTGTATCTAATGATACAGTAAAAGTTTGTGAAACAGCATTTAAATCTGCCTGCTTTTTTTACTAATCCTACTGTGACCATTTGGACACTCATCTTCTTTTTCCTGAAATATTTCAAAAGTTTTAAAACTTGTCTCACAGCCTTTTTCTTTTATGTCTATTCATCTTCTATGTCTATTCATCCTCTATGGGCCTGTAAGAATCATCATTCTTTGGCAGCAATATCCTATAGAATGTTCTGTTATGATGAAAATGCTCTGCATTTTCAGTAGCCATTTCCCAACTTCAAATAGGATAGTAAAATTGGAGAACTGAAATTTAAATGCAATTAAATAGAAATACCTTAAATGTGACTATAATAGCCACATGATCTTAAAGATTACCTATGAATACTATAGCTCTAAAATATAGATCTTGCACTATCTTCCTGTGGTGATCTAGTGACAAGGAATCGTGCTGTCAACCCAAAGGTACATGGTTTGAATCCGCCAATAGCTCTTTGGGAGAAAGATTGGAAGTCAATTCCTGTGGGATTTGCTGCCTCTGAAAATCTGCTGCAACATCAGTTATGACTTGGTCCTGACTCGATTGTACATAACAACAGCAACCCAAGAGGTTGAAAGAATGTACAAAACAAAAATCATTACCCATAGGATAGGGTCTAGAGTATGAAATAAAATACTGAATGATCTTCAAAATGCAACCGCTTTTCCAGTTGTTATCACTCTATTGAGTGGGCTAGGTGGTAGAAAGTTGTACAGATATCTCAAAAGTACTGCTTCTCTGCTGCTTTGAATCCATCAATGACTTGGTGGGAGATGGGCTCCACAAACCCTCTGCAGGGTCAGCAATGACTTGATGACAACGTGTTTGAGTTGGTTCGAACTTTTTATCACCTCCTTTAATCCTAGTTCACACTACTCTCACACTCACTGCTGCTGAGTTGATTCTGACTCATAGCAACCCTTTACTGGGTTTCTGAGGCTGTGAATCATAAAGGGAGGAGACTGCTCATCTTTCTCCCATAGAGCAGCTGATAGATTCAAACCACCAGAGTTGTAGCATTTTGACAGCAGGATTGTACCTTATATAGGACTTGGCCACCACAGCACCTTACACTTGCCCTACAACTATAGAATCTTGTTTTCCCTAAATCAAAATTAAAAACCAAACTGTCAGCTAATGGACTCCCACTCACATCAACTGGTCTGAGGCTGACAATCTTGGAAGCGAACTGACCATCTTTCTCTATGAGAGCAGTTGATAGATTACAAATGTCAACCTTTCAGTTAGCACCTCAGTATTTTCAGATTTGCCAGCGTTTGATCCTATTCTTTGAATATATTTTCTCGTTGCTGTACCTAAGTAGCCTTAGTGACTCACTTGGTAATGTATTGGGCTGCTCACTAAAAGGTTGCAGCTGCCACAAGGAAGATGGGCCATCCCCTATCTTGAAGATTTACAAGCTTAGAGACACTATGGAGGGTCACTATGAGTCACAAAAAGACTTGATGGCAATGGGTGTTTGGGTGGCTGTACTTAGAATGCCCTTCCTTTGTTTCCTCCCTTCAAGAATTTGTCTTGTTTTTTCAAGACCTAACAAAGAGTCCTTGGGTAACACAAGTCATTAACAAGCTCAGCCGAGAATTGTAAGATCAGTGATTCAAGTCTACCTAAGGTGTTTCAGATAACCTACTTCTGAAAAATCAGTCACTGACAGTCCTATGGAACATTCTGCTGTCATCTGCAAGAGTTCCCCTTGAGTTAGAATGGACTCCATGGCAACTGCTTTTTAAGTAAAGAAATTAGCTGAAGACAATCTCCACTAACAGAAGGATCATTCTCTTTATCTTTGGTTTTGAGGAAGCCTTTGGCATCCCTTAGTCTAGTTTTCTCATCTGTAAAGTGGGAATGATAACATTTTCTCCCTTACAGTGTTGCTGGAAAATGAGCATTAGTCATTCTGCACACCAATCACAAAGCCTTCAGTAAGAGATGGATTTTGTCCTTTATTAGCATTTATCACTGCTTCATTAAAAGGATTTCCAGATGGGAATCTCTCTGTCCTCAAGACTTTAAGGATATTAACAGTAAAGGCTAGATATTGTTCCTCATTGTCCCCAAACATGAGGCATGTTGTGGTCATTTAACAAGTGGCTTAACTGGGGACACATATTGAGTAAATAAATTACACACAGAATGTCGCAGAAATGTAACAAAAAGCATAAATGTATGATTTGTGTGATATATATGTGCAATAGAAGAGATATATGCTTGTACCAACATTAGTAAAAGAGGACACCAACAACTCTTTTAAAGTATAAAAGCTTTTCCCTTATTGCCCAGAAAAGCTAGCATAAGGCTGTGCTGAACATCTGTGCCCCTTCTTGTCAGACATGAGTGAGTGCTCTAACATTTGTGTTATTTTGACTTTCCTTTTTGGGCCTCTGGGTCCTCTGTCCCTCCTCCCCCACACCCTCCCATAGTCACTAAGCTCCCATCACTGTCACCAAGGCAACCGCAGGGATGCCTCAGTCCTCCCAGCTCTGCATATTTAAACTCTGGCTGCCTTTTGTCCACTGAGCCAGCAGAATTTTTCGAGTGTACACCACTAAATCACCTGTCTTCTACACAGAACTCTATCCATGATTCTTTTTTAAGAAAGTAAACAAGTTCTTCTGGGAATGGCCTTTTCCAAGACCTATCATTGGAGCCACTCTTAAACGTATCACTTTTTTCCCCCTTAGGAGAAAAATTGCCTGTTTACCTTAATAGTGTGTGCAGGGTAAGTGTGGGTCCGTTACAAAGCACGAAACAGGGCGTTCATAATGGCTTTTTTAAAAGCAGAGGATACCAAAAATAAACCTGACAAAGGGCAGCTGTAGAGTTTTAACATGTGGAAAACTCCACAGGCAGCAGTTATATAACTGGAAAGAAACATGATAAATATTTCACACCGTTAGATGAACTTCTAACTGTAGGAAAGCAATGAACACAAAACACATCTTAGCTCTCTAAGGGACAAAGCTTAAACTGAAAAAAAAAAAAAAAACCCCAAACAAACAGGGTTAAGACAGCTCTCAAATGTAAGCCCTCAGGCCTGCAGGAGTCTTAACTGGTATATTTTCTTTTTTTCTCTCGTGTCGGAGGCACAGCCCACAAACTCCCTTTTCCTTGGGGCGCCTCATCCGCAGCTTGTCCTGTTGGCCTGAAATTTCCCCTAAATCTCCACCCCTAGGTTGAGAAGCAAAGAAGTTTTGTGCCAAAGAAAGGGAGCGAGTGGTCGGAGTAGGGCAGGCGCAGAGCCCCGCTCGGGCCGCGCCCCCGCCCCCGGCTCCTCGCCCCGGGGGACAGCTGGCAGCCCCGCGCCCGCCAGACACAAAGCCGATCAATCCGGCGGCGCGGGCGGTGGGGACAACCGCGAGCCTTTCCCTTCCTCTCCTTTCCTCCCCTTGTGTCCTCACTAGGACCCCGCGGACATCTCGTCCAGCTTCCACCGCCTTCCCCCTCTGGTCGCCCCCCACCCCTCATTAAGAAGAACCCTGGACCCTCTATCCAAAGGCTGGGGGAGACCTGCCTCCTTAGAACCAGCTGCGAAAGCGCCTGAGGAAGGGGAACCTGAGCTCATCAGGGCCCGCCCTTCTCCCGCCTCTCCTTCCTCTCCCCTCCTCTCCTCTCCTGCCCTAGAAGTTTAGGGGCTCTCGACTGAACACAGAAACTCGTGCTCCGGGACCCTCGGCCTTGAGGAGCAGCCTGTTTGTCCCCCGGGAAGATGGCGAGGGGGAGCCACCGTCGCCTCCTGCTGCTACTGCTGCGCTACCTGGTGGTCGCCCTGGGCTGTAAGTTGCGAGGGTGTCTCCACGTTCCCACTCCCTGCTACCGGGGACCATTGGCTCCGGGACCCCAGCCCCTCCACGTGCGTCGTGGCGCTCTCGGGGGCTCCGGGCAGGGGGTGGGCTGCCGGGCTCCTCACTTTCTACCCGGCAAACGGAGAATCCTGGGTGCGCGCAAGAGGCGGGGAGCCAGGAGGCGAGCGTCGCGGGCTGTCTTATGAGAAGCATCTGCTTTTGTCACTTCTTGTTAGAGAAAATTAAGGGTCCACACCAGCGGGTATCTCGTCTAGCAAAGTTGTATGTAAGTTTTCAAAAGACACAGGGACGTGATCAGAATGTAAAACTCACTAACTCCTTAAAGAATGGTAAGATCCCAAGATGGCATCACGAGGAGGCGCCTGCCACACTTTAAGTGTCGGGGGAGGGGGCAGTGTCAGGGTTTTCTTGGCTTCTGAGAATCCCAACGGTGCGGATAATATACAATGCACTTGTGAGGTGGGGCACTGGGGAGGGTTCCTGAATCGCTTTGATCCTCTCCACCTGCGCTTGGCTTTCAGTTCGAGAACTCTGATTTGGCGACTTGCCCGATGTGGTGTCTTCTGGAAGAAACCCGGAGGGGGGATTAATTGATATGAAAATGCAGAATCTGAGTGATCAAGTAGAGGCAGAGACGCCCCAAACCAATGTCACAGGATGGTTTGAAACAATTTTCAAGGATTCTGTTCTCATGAGATTTACAATCCTAGAGATGTTTCTTTCTGTTTGCTTTGCAGTAACTTTTTAGGGAAAGTAGAGGAAACCACACTGGACCTTATGCAATGAAATCCTCCAGTCTTTTTCGCTTTGGCTCTCAGAATAGGATATTATTGTTGCTATTCAAGTTCTGATGTAGGACTTAAGACCACCTACTGGTTGAGTGTCTAATAACAGAAAGCGAAGTCTGTTTCTCATGTTCAAATTGCAAAAGTGATTATTATTATTGCTCAGCTGCAAGTGATGTGAACTGTGTTTACTGTGGGGGAGGAAGGTGCAAGTAGTCCCAGTGGAAGGGATGTACTGACCTATATTGTACAAATCAAACCAGGAAGGCTAGATAGAGCTCACAATAAAACCATTCTGCAATTTTAAACTAGCAACTGATAATATCCTGAAGGTACAGTGGGGAGATGAGGGAGTGGAAATCCCTGTTGAAAGTAACAAAGAGGAGGTTAGAGGAATTGTAACAAAACTTGTGCATTGAAACTCCCAAAATTCATGTGAAAATAAACATACGGCCAGACTTTAGAATTTGCACTCATTAAAACTTAGACAAAACAGTTTTATTCTGCTCTTCTTTCTTTGGAGGAAGATCACAGAGATAAAGTGTCATTTTCATCACAGATGTCAACCATCTTTTGTTGATGTTAGCCTTGATCACCTGACTGAAAAGTATTTTCAGGTTCTTCTACTTTATAGCTAGTAATTTTCACCCATTTCCATATTTTCAAAGGATTTGTGCTATTTACAGCCTCAGGAAACCCCATTGGAGGGTCAGTTTTAACTAGATAGCAAGGAATGTTGTTGTTACTTGCCTGCCTATGAGTCAGAACTGATTAATAGCTGACTTTCCAGTAAGTTTTCAGAGGCTGTAAATCGTAAGGATGGAGACTGTCATCTTTCTTTCACGCAATGAAAATGAGAGAGTGAATATTTATATCAATATGGACTCATGAATATTTATAATTTTTGTTATAATCCAGTACTTTTGTTTTATTGTTCAAATTGTTCCAGCTTTGGCCATTCGGAAATTTTTCCAATTGGCTCTTATGTCCTTTAATGAGAAAACCCTAATTGAGTGTATGTGTATGTGTGTGTGTGTGTGTGTGTGTGTGTGTGTGTATTTAAACTTTTCTGTTTTGTTTTAAGTACCCACTTACTTTTTAGTGCTATATGATGCTATAGGCTCATCTTGTACATTTGCTAATGTGATCAAAGCTGCAATAAACATGTGCATATATCTACTTGGGTGGCAGTTGTGGTTTCTTTATGGTATATTCCCAGTATTGGAATTCCCAGTATTGGAATTGCTGGGTCAAGTGGTATTTCAATTTGCAACTTTTTGAGAAAGCACCATAGTGCCTTCCATTCAGAGTGGTTTTACCATTTTTACACTCCCACCAATAGTGAATAACAGTTCCAGTTTCTCCATAAACTCGCCAGCATAATTCTGTTTTTTTAAGTTGTTCATCATCCTAAGAGCAGAACATATCTTTAGTTTACAGAGAATGACTCCAAGGCTTAGAGGGGTTATGCTACTTATTTAGGCTTTCTTGTTTAAGTTAGAAAGAGATGGATACGAGATTGAAAATCTGAAAATTTGTTCCATGGATACCTGCCCTTCTCTTCCTTATTTATGTAACAATATACTTAACTTTTCTCCTATTTGCATTTGTCTAATAAATAGAAAATGGGGCATAAAGGCATAGGACCATGAGCATCTCTCTGAAAGGGCCAGAGGAAATGAGACTAGCACAGCCTCTCACCACCCCAGAGCAGAAAGCAGACCAAGAGCCGGTAGCCCAGCCCCATAGTGCCTCTAGAGCCACAGCAGCAGCAAGAGGTTCCTTTCTTTGTTGTTGACTCATAGACTTACAGTCTTGTGGTACTGAAATTGGGGTTTATTAGGGAAGTAAGTTGGAGAGTGGGGGAGGCAAACAATATCACCCAATGCAGATCCAGGTTTTAGCCCAACAGTCCCAAGGCATAATTCCTCAGTTAGTCCAGGCTCCAATTTCAGTTCAGCAACACAAATTGAAGAGGCCTCTGGTTTTCTCTATCATCCAGTGAGGTTTACCTCAGAGCAGTTATAAGTCAGCTTTCTCTTCAAGCATCTGGCAAGAACAGTAAAAATCTTTAACTGTGGCCTTTGTCTCAGGGCTCCTGTTATACCTTGCCACAATTTCTCCACAGCAATGCCACAATCTCTTCACCACCATCACCAGAGTCTCACTCTCAACAGGGTTGTGCTCCAGCCTCTTTCAAATCTTGCCACCCAGTGTGGGAAGCACTCTTTCTCTTATCCTAGGCCCACGTCAGTTGATTTCCAAGAGCATGTATCTGTATTTAAGGTAGGTGGAGACCAGAGAGGGTAAGGTAATGGCTTTAAAAAAAAAAGTAAACTTTAGTCTAACACTGCAGTATTCAAGAAAAGATCTAATGTTTTTTTAAAGTTCTAATTAGTTATGAATTAATTACATACCCACCATAAGTCACATCCTCCAAAATATAACTGTGTCATCATATTTATTCCATTTCCCTTTATTTCTAATTTGTATGAGAAGTTTTGGTCAAGATTTTAAAATTTATTAGCAGTCATAATATTGCCTTTTTTGTTATTTAAACGATGATTTAATATACCTATTGATTACAACAACAACATCATTGATGTATGAAGAATGTAGGGGGGTAAGGCAGCAGATCCAATCCATGAGGCACTCCAAGAATAAAGATGAAGCATGTGTTCTAGTTAAAATTTACAGCCTCAGAAATCTGATGGGAGGTGATCATGAGTTGTAATTGACCCTATAGCAATTAAGCTAGTTTTATTTTATTATTTTATTTTATTTCATTTCATTTTATTTCATTTGTTGTTGTTAGATGCCTTTGAGTTGCTTAAAATTCACAGTGACCCTATAAATACCAGATCTCAACATTACTCTATCCTGCATCATCTTTGTGATTCGATATGCTTAAGCCCAGTGTTACAGTCACTGCATCAGTCCATCTTGGTGGGGATCTGCCTTTCTTTCTATGACCCTCCACTTTCCCAATCATGAGGTCCCCTTTAAAGGACTGGCCACTTCTGATAACATTCCCAAACTATGTGAGACAAAGTGTCACCATCCTTGACTCTAACTCCTTGATTGCACTTCTTCCAAAACAGATTTATTTGGTTTTTTGTCACTCATTAGGATATTTATTACCCTTTTGCAATACTACAACTCCAAGGCATGGATGATTCTTAGGTCATCCTTATTCACTGACCAAATTTCAGATGCATGGGAATTAGTTAGACCATTGCTTGGATAAGATGCACTTTAATCTTTAAACTGACATCCTTGCTCTAGAACTCTGGAGAGGTCCTTGACAGTGGATTTTTTCCAATGTAACATGCCTTTTGATTTCTTGGTTGCTGTTATCCTGAGTTTTGTTTGTGGTCTAAGTGAAATTAAGTCATCGACAGTTCTTTTCTCCATCTATCACAGTGTTGCTTATTATTTCAATAGTAAGGATTTTTGTTTTCTTAATGTTGAGATGTAATCCATATTGTAGGCTCTCTAGTCTTTGAATTTCTGTAATAAGTGCTTCATTTCCTCTTCACTTTAAGAAGTTGTGTCATCATATAACACAATTTGCTGATGAGTCTTCTTCCTCAATCTTCATGCCACATATTTCTTCAAGTAGTCCAGTTTCTTGAATTTATTACTTGAATATACAAATCGAATAAGTGTGGAAAAGGATACAACCCTGACACACACCTTTCCTGGTTTTCTATACAATGTTCCCTTGCTGTGTTCAGACAACAGCTTCTTGGTCTAAGTATAGATTTTACATGAGCACAACTTAAGTGTTATGAGATTTCCAGCCTTCTCAATGTCAGCCATAATTTACTATGATCCACAATCATAACCAATAAAACAGCCAAAATCCATCTGACATCAGCAGTGTCATTCCTGATACTGTGGCCTCTTCTGAATCCAGCTTGAATTTCTGACGGTTCCCTATCTGTGTATATTTCTAACCATTTTTTAAAAAATAACTTTCAGCAAGATTTTACTTGCATGTGGTATCAGTGATATTGTTTGATAATTTCCATGTTCTGTTGGACCACTATTTTTGGGAATGGAAACAATTAGGAATCTCTTCAAGTTGTCCAAATTTCTTGGCATAGACTGATGAGTATGTGCAGGACTATAACTGTTTGTTAAAATATGTCAGTTGGTATACTATCAATTTTGGGGGCCTTA